CTTAAGGGGGCAGACCTCCATTGCCTTGAGTTCCATGGAGCCAGAAGTGTTGGCCGCTACAGGCCTACTTGCTGAGGGTGTAGCCTTGAAACAGGCTCTACAACCTGGCTCGGTTGCGAAGAGGATCCAGGTGACAATGCTGGAGTTGAGATGAAGCTTTACCTGGATTCAGCGCAAGCATTCTTTCAGCGCTTAGGCCCTGGTCGGGCCAAACGCCTGTGCACCCGCATTTTGTGGGGCTAGGAGGCCATGAGAAGAGGATGGTCTAAGATAGGGCGCGTTGCTACGAAGGAGAACCTAGCCGATTTGAACACCAAGGCACTGAGCAAAGAAAGAAGGGAGTACTTGGCGCAACTCATTGGTTTGCACAGTGATTTCAGCCTTGAGCACACCAAGTATGCAGCGCATGGTTCAGATGCTGGTGATGGCAGGCTGGTTGAAAGGATGCGCACCAGACAGTGACAATTTTGAAGGGATGAGGACAACAGTACGCCATAGTATGTGGTGCATTTTTCTCCTGAGGGCCACAGTGCTCTTTCTTCTGTTTGTGATGTCCGTCATGGTTTTCAACATCCAGAAAGTTCAAGCACCCCTGTCACACCTGAGAAAGAATGAAGAACCTATGAGACTGGCTGGTGAAAGAGAAGGTGCGAAAACCCGGAGGAACCGCGCAGGCGAAATTGGATTTTTTCTCGAAACTGAAAAAGGGCCGCGGTAGCTCAGGCTCAAGCCCCTAGGTCTTTACAAACGACTGTGCATGTGAAACATCACATATCACTGCATGGAAATTCACACCCCCCTTAAAGGCTAGGGGCGGTCACCCGGCGGTGCTACCCGCTCGGGCAACAGTGTCCCTGCGCCCTGGCGGGGCTCCCCGCTCAAGATTCAGCGGAGGTTCCCGCACGGGCCTTCGATGCCCCATTGGCATGATCTGCTGTTTCCGGCAGTGTTGGCATTCAGGCATATGCCATGTAGTGTGCCGTGCCAACTCTGGACAATCCAAAAGGAGGTGAATCTCTCGCCTGGGAATTTGGCATGCTAGATGGATGCGTTCCAGATGGAGCCAAAAATTCCCGATGGGATGGTGATCGTCGCAGGTCTGGCAGATCATTTCGTCATCGATCTCAGCCTCTGGGACATGTTGCAGGCCTTGACAGTTTGAGTACATGTGTGCTCTGGAACCGGTCCTTGTGAAGAACACGGATCGGTCATGGCGAAACGCCCTTTGCATTGGTGCTGGGGTATCGGCCGGGAGCCTTCTTTGCGATGCCCCCCCCTTGGCGAAAAGGCGGGGTCGTCCGCTCTGAGCGCCCATGGTCTGGCTCTGGTTCTGGTGCAGGCTCTCGTGTAACCTGCGTGCGCCGTAGTCTGATGGCGTTGTACACGCATATCCAGAATACACAACCGAGCAGCACCATGATTCCTAAGATCCAAGGTAAGTAGCTACAACCTTCTGAACCATGTTTGTGGCCTTTGACCCCGGTGATCTGACTGGCAGCAAGGGCGCCGTGCAGTTTCAGGCTGGCATTTGTCATTGGCGCCATTGTGTTCCACTGAGCTGGGGGGTTCTCCTTGAGAGCTTTCACGGTTCCCTTCCGGGCTGCAGTTGCTCCTTCCACCTCATGAACATTGACGAGGCCCAAATGGGGCAGTGCCTCCTGCACCTCTGACCCGGTCTTGGGACGTTTCGTGAGGTAGCTGGGAGGATTCATAGTGCCCTTGACTTTGCGGAGCTGAAGTCGCCCTGTCTGCACTGCCCCTTGTACGTAAAACTCGCACACTTCGAGGTGCCTGAGCTTGCTCCCAGGCCCAATCCTTTTGGCGGCAGCGATTCTGCAGCTCTCGTGGGTAAAAGGTGGTGAGCCTTTCCGCTGCGTGCGCTTGTTGCTGGAGCATGTGATGGCATTTGCGTCAAGCGTGCTGTGGAGTTCCTCACAGGTGACCCTGTCCACCACAGTTGCTGGGAGGACAATTCTGCAACCAGGCAGATTGCCAACAAGCGAGGTGCTGGACCCGCCATGTCAGTGGCAAGTTGCTTTGGTGCCAAGACAAAATGGCAAGTGGCACAGCAGACCAGCGCGGTGTTCAACCTTGCAGACATTGGAACCAAGCCCTTGTCCAAGTCGAGGCTGAGGTTGCTGTTGTTTTGCTGCCGCACCATGAATGGGGATGGAAGTAGGGTTGGCGAACAAGAACATCAGGAGTTCGAGCAGAACCACATCGAGAAAGGCAAGGTCCCGAAGGCAGCCAGGCACCTCGGCTTCCATGTCCTCGTCACTTGGTGTAGGCTCAGGCTCAGTTGCAGAGCCTTGTACTTCTGGTACCTCAGGTTCAGCCGGCGCAACATATTGAGCTGGCACTTGAACTGTTTGCACTCCATCAAAACGATGATGGCCGTTGCTCCACTTAGTCCTGGCTCTCCTGGGTCCACGTTCACGTTGACCACAATAGATCCAGGAAGTTTTTTTCCGCGTTCTTCTTGGATAGTTTCCCTCTTCTTGCATCTCTTCCTCAGCCTTAGCCCATCATGCCGTCGATTCACCTTCTCAATGTAGTGTAAGCTTTGCCATTCCAGCATTTGTACTGATGGATCTTCAACATTTCCACATAGTCAGCCACCATTGAATTTTCTCGGTCCTGTTGTTCGACAGCTTCTCGATGATCATGTGCATCCATCCCAACCCGATTCTGCAGGAAGACTACCTTCTTCTCCAACGCCGGCATCTTGCTCCACAGCACGATGGCAAACACCAGAAAGCCGAAGATCATTAGGATCATCCAATGGAAGGGGGAGTGCCCCAGAAGTTGTTGCAGCGGCCTGGGAACCTGAGGGTTCAGCTCGAGCATTACAACTGAGCATACAATAGAGCCGACCTTCGAGCTGGAGAGGAGCTTTTGAAGATGGAGGTAAATGGGTTCCACGGGATAGAAACGGCAATAGAAGCCTAATGGTTGAGATGATGGATTTGATGAAGGGGGCGGTGCATCATATGTAGGGTTTTTACCCCTAGTGAAGGTTGAGCCTCGAGCTTGAAACTCACAGGTTCAAAGGAGGAGTGCTTGAGAACGTGACAAGGACTCAGGATGTAAAGCATAGCTGTTCATCAAACGATGGCGCGCACAAATCAAGAAGTACCGCGCACAGACCGCTTGTGCTCAAGAGCTGAAAAGCTTCGCAGTTTCACTGAAGACCAAGAGAAGCTCAGACATGAAAAGTTGCACGTATGGCATGCGACTTTGAAGAACATACGGTGCAGCGCAAACGTCAGCGTGTGCAACATTCTTTGGACAACCGGCCAAGTGGTTGCAGAGAAAACTACGCCTGGATTGCGCGGCTCAGATCCACGCCGGACAACAAGAATGATAGAAACCCTGCTTTTAAAACCGTTGCGCCTTGGAGCTGGCAAAAGCGGTGTCATAGTGGACGTGTTGGGGTGCATTGGTGTTTCGTTCTAGTTTGAGCAAGCTGCAGCTTACCAGGCCCCAGCCGCTCTAGGCTTCCTTGGGTGCGGTTCCCCATGCATGTGTTCAAGAACGCGCTTCTGATACTCCAGGAGCTTGTGCTCCCGTGGCTTGTTTTCCTCCATGGTTTCCTGGTAAAACGGGGTCTTAAGGGCCCATTGCTTAATTCGATGCAATGATGCAGCGAGGTAGGAACAGAAAGCGCAAATATAAATGAAATTATAGACGTTATGAGGGCAAGGGTGTGCCAGCACTGTGGACATTCTTAGGGTTTTTGCACTTGCTGTAAGAGATTCGTCGTTGAATTTCGTCATGACCGAATCTAGCGCAGATCGTTTCAACATAGATTTTTCTAAACAGTGTACTGTTGGGGTTCTATCTTAGAAAAGAGAGCTGGCCACACTGACTGGCCGCGCACTTGAACTCTGTGGCCGGGCTCTGTGGCCGGGTCTTGTCCTCCTCTTGTCCTTCTGTTGTCTTGCTGTTGTCCTCCTTTTGTCCTTCTCTTGTGTCCTGGCCGCGCTGACCGGCACTGGACACACTGACTGGCCGCCACCCTGAAAACTGTGGCCGGGCTCTGTGACCGGGTCTTGTCCTCCTCTTGTGTTCTGTTGTCCTGCTCTTCTCTTGTCTTCTCTTGTGGCCAAAACATTGGCGATGTCCACGCCGACAAAAATCATTGATAAAGCAGTTTGCTCTTTGGGGGGGTCGGGCGTACCAAGATATGGTCCAAACGAATCGTTTTGAAACTGTTTGGGGTCTATGCTGGTACAATTGATAGAATGGCCTTGCTTTGTGCTCAGAAACCTGCAGTCAAACAAATTTTGCAGATGCACTCAATACTGATGCTCAACGTTTAGCCTCGCCTTGTCGACATCAATGACACAGAAGTGCTGTGAAAGTTTCGCTTGTGCCAGACAGTTCTTGTCGTTGATGTGTCCCCATCTAAAAACGCGTGCAATTATGTCATTGGAATGTATGTGGCACAGTCGTGTTGTTGTTGTTGGCGGCGGCGGAGGTGGCAAAACTTTGGTTTTGCTCCCACACTTGGCGCTTGCGCGTGGCGGTTGCAACGCAGAGGTGGTGCAAGTGCGCGGTCTCTGTGGAATTTGTGGGTGCTATACGGCTGCCATGCAGCAGGCGCCGGCCCATTGGCACCCTATGCCGCACCCAATGTGGTCACTCATGTTTCCACATTCATGCCAAACTGTCAACCCTGCCTGCCTCGTGTTTTTGTTGCTGACTGTGTTGCCACTGAAATGCTTCTGGCTGCCTCACTCAGTCAGGGGATATTTTACATCAGTTTTTCCGGATGATTGCTGAAATTGATTCCAGCAGGGGGCCCTTTCGTCTTGAAAATGCATTTGAAACCAGCAAGATGAACTTGCGTCGTGGCTTTGGTTCCAGAAAACTGGGCGGTGTTGCTTGCAATGCCGGGCCATTTAGACAGAGGTTTGACGGACGAGGTAGCCAACAGTGATGCTCGTTTTCACTTTGGTCTTGGGGATGGTTGTTGTGATTGGTACGCGCACAGGCCGATGGGATGTGCTGCGAGTATCAAACGATCAATCAGCTTCCAAAATGTTGAAGAGGCAAAGGGCGTGTGCGCCAAACTTGTGGTTTCTTCGATCACACAAAGCACAAGGTTTATGTAATACAATGAACAGATAGGATGCCGGAAAACAACTCCTGTAGCAACTACCATGCTGGAGCGGTTGGAACAACTTGCGGACGTTCTCTTTAAATCTGCGGGTGTTGTTGTTGCAATGATGTAATTGTTTTGTTATTCTTTAGAGAACATTCTTCTTCGTTCCAGCAGCTAATCAGGATGGACGCCAGAGATCCAAAGAGACCATTGCCACAACCAACACTAAGGCACCAGCAGTCTTTGAATGCGTTTGTTGAGTGTTTGCCCGCGCCACATTGCAGGGATCGTCTTTGTTCCGGAGGGCCTGGACCTCACTATTCCCGCGTGTGTTGGCAGTTTCTACAAGTTTTGGAAACTCTGAATCACGACGTTCGTTGATGGCTGCAGCGCGTGCGCTGAGATTTCCCTTGGTTCAATTTCATCAATGCTTTCTTTCCGGCGGAAGTCACAAGAGGATGCAGTGGAAGAGGCCTGTATTTCACAGTTGGCGGATGCCACTGCGAACAGGGCTGGTAGACTGCGCACACCAGATTCATTTTGAAACTGTCATGTTGGCAAGGGGTGACGTCCCTCCGTTTTCATCATTCCAACACGCCAGCTTGTTCTGGGAAACATGCAATATAGATAGATTATAGAAATCATGAATCAAGTCAGGAAACACTCATTGCAGAAAGGGAGCTCGCCTCAGCGGCAAACCTTGGGAAGGATCCAGCAAGTTTTGAATCGTTCCAAGGATCCAGATGCGCCTCTCACGTTGGAAGGTCGTTTGGAGCATCTAGGCTGAGGTTACATTAGAGCCCTGTTGCCCAGTAGTCCAGTTGCATTTTTTTCGGTTGACCCTGCTGTCTAGCAGTCTAGTGTTTGCACCGTGAGTACGCGCCCGATTAGACTCCATCTCTCAACACTTACGTTTAATGCAGTGCATTGCTGTGCCAAGGGACATCAACCTCACTGGCATAGTTCCTTTGAACGCATTTACATTCTTTGCTTTCTACAGTGCTTGCCAGAGAGCGCTTTTGCATTCTTGCAGCGCTTGTGTTCGCACCCAGTTGAATGATGCAGACGTGGCCCAGCTGTAACTTGGCAGGATCAGTTCCGTTATATAATTTGCATTTTACCCGCTTGACTTTCCAGTATATGAAGGACACTTGCTCCCATTTTGAGGTATTTCTTCTCAGATTACATGCTCTCAAAGAGAACAATGGTGGTGATTCGGCTGGTCACGGACAAACGCACTGATCCCTGGCCACAAACAGTACAGCCTCACCTTTGAAAAGACGTGTGACATACATCATGTGTTTTTCTGTTTGTTGAAGCACGTTGGCTTCAACAGACCAAGGATAAACTGATGGCATGCAAGCAGCATAACCTGCGGACTCTCAGCAGAAAGACCCTTTGCGAATCTCAGCATTTTCGGTACACTTCATGTGCCGAGGAGGATGGACCGCAGCTCCAAGCATGATCGTTCTCCAGACATCATAAAACAACAGGCTGGCCGAGGGATGTGGAATAGAGACAGGCTTGCCGAGCCTCACAGCTCTCAGCAATTGGAGATTCCTTATATACGGATTTGCGTATTATTGGCTACTTCCACGGAACTTATCCATGCAATTTGTTCTAACAACATTGATGGCCGCGTGACATTGTTGGCAGTTCTTTCATGAAATTGATACAGATGGCAGATTTCCTCATAGAGTTGCTTGGTCTTGAATGTTGTATGGCGCTGAGGCAATCATGCTTGATGCATGCTGCTCCCATCCAAACATCATCAAGTTGCAGGACAGCTTGCGATTGCACCACTGGTCGTGTACCTTGCTGCCCTGTGCGCTCAGGAAGCTTTCATACATAATGGTTATTTCTATGTGCCTTGGCAGCGATCAGCCAGTTATGAGCTGTACACCTTTGATTCCATGCCATTCAGCAAACTTCACACCCACTTGATGCTGGAATGTCATGTTGCAAAGATCGCATGAGTGTGGACATTCGATGATGCCACTCAAACATGTATCGAGACATACAATTGCATCAAGAAGTGAATGACCAATTCCTAACCGTGTCGCCTGCAGATGAAGCTGTGAATGCATAAATAGACTGAAGAAAAGGGTTGGAAAGGTGAATTGGTATGAATGAGTAAGTATGATAAAATGACTAGCTTTATGAGCAAACGGTCGGTCTCACTCACTGATGCTCTGAGAAAAAAATGCACGCTTCTTCAACACCAGGGCCGTGACAGCTGCAGACTTGCCGCACTGCCGCACGCACCAGATCGCTAGATTGCTGGATTCATGTCCTGGTCATCTGGTCTCTGCCATTTTGTTTTTTCTCTCTCTCTCTCTCATTTGGTTCTTCTTCCTCTATTTACTTTGTTTCTTCTCCTCTCTTGCTCCATGTGGTCGCTGGGTTCTAAACAAATCTGGGATTGTTTGGTGACAGTTAGGCCTTCGTTCTTGTTTGAAAGACCTTTAGGGCCACTAGAAGACCTGCCAACCACTGTGCTACCCGTCTCCTCTCAGCCATGAGCTACCAAGGCCACAAGCCCACAAGCTAGGCCACCTGTTACATCTGCTATTGTTCTAAAATTCGGGCTCCAAAAGGAATGTCCTATATTGTTGTGTTGGTGGCTTTCAAGGATGACACGTACTGTTAGATATTCGGCTCTTATTATGGCTCCTAGAAAGTCTAAGGCAGTGCTTTTGCCTTTTGCCCCACCCATCGTTGCAGTGCTTCTGCCTTCCAGTGCCTTTCCATCCCTCCTTGTCTCTGGTAGTGCTTGTGCTTTTGCATGTGATTGCTCGAAACCATGCTTTCATGTCTTCGCATTGGTATAGTGTACGTGTGTGGGAAATGTTGTCTCTCAACGCCGATGTGGAAGTTCCTTTATTCAACCATTTTGTAGCCTTGTGGGAACAAACAAAGGAGATTCTGGAGTATGCCACTGGAGGGAGGCAGGGCCAACAATGAGAAGGGCAGGACAGAAGCTCAATGCTTGCCTGTACAAGGCTTTACGATGCAATTCTGGATGCGGAGCACCACACCGAACAAGAAACTGCAAATATGGTGTTGCGTGACCGCACTTTGAAAGGGCATCCCTTCGCCCCTTTGCTTTTTTAGGTGGACTGGGGCAACTAAATGAGACGCAGAGTTCAACCTTTTTGAGCAATACCACCCCCAGGTTGCAGCTCCTCAGCGCTGTTCAACACATGCATGACAGGCCGCAGCCGATCTAGTTGATTTTTGCCACATCGCTCGCAGGACATGCATACAGTATTCTTGTCATGTGCAATGCTTTGGCGACTGATTTTTGAAGAAGGTTTTGCGATCTTGTTTGTAGAGTTCTGGGCTCAAAGAAAGCAGTCGCAAATCGTTGGTGGGGGTGTTGCCTCGGGCTAAGATCTTCAGGTATTTGAGGTATTTGGACGTCAGCTGGATTGTTACTCAGCTCAGGTGTGGATTATGGCTCAGCCAATTCGCAAGGCCTTCAAAGCTGAATGGGATGAACGTGATTGGTGAGACGATTGCAACAAGTAGTGACAAAATTCAGCCTTTGGCTTTGGCTTCTCTATTTTTGGCCGTTTTCAACTTGCGTCTTGGTCTTAGCTAGAGATTTCTCAGTGTGTCTGACAGATCCGCCTGTTGCCTGCGTTGCTGGCGGCTTTGGTGACCGTGCCTTGCTTCGTTGCGCCTCCCAAGCGAGGCGAGTTTCTCTTGTTATTTTTGCGCGGGTGCCTTTTGAAGTAGCTGCATCAAGACCCTTGGGCCCTTGAAGCTAACAGCTCAGTCCATTGTTCACAAGTATTTTGCTGACAGAAATTCCAGCTGCACCCCTGGCTGCTGGACTAGCAGCCTTGGCCGCGCCGATTGAGGCTGGCTCAATGCAAAGCAATCTGCAAGCACACTAACTCAGCAAGTAGTGGAAGATTGGTAGTTCAAGATGTTAAAGGTTGACCTGTGAGGCCGCCTATGCCAAGCTGCCTCCTCTTGAGGATATCCCACTGGAAGACATTGTCTGGAACTCATGTTTTTTGCAGCCACCAATCGAAAGCAAGCATGAACTGCCAAGGGCGCAACTCGTCAGGGAAAGCTTGGAGAAGAGGCGGGCTTGGCTGCCTTGCATGGTTGACATTTCATTTGCTTGAATGCTCTGCAGTCTGACACCTTCTTTGGCATCAGCTTCCAAGTGTGGCTTTTCGTAATCCTGGGAGCCGTGACGTGGGCAGCCACTTGGGTCTTGAACCTCAAGCCCGCCAAGGACCTGTTGAAGATGTGTTTGCAAGCAGCTAATCTAGAAATGTCAGCTGCCACAGACATAGATGTATAGCAATGCCGAAGAAGCCAAACAGGCCAATCAACATCATGTGCATCATGCGTTGTTTGTAGTTCCATTTCATGTGGTTCATGTGGGTGTCTCCAGGATGCTGAGGGCACCTACAAGACGTACATCGGCGCTGGAGCTTTGCCACCTGATGGTTTCACCAATCCTGCTGACCCGCGAGTGCAAGAAGAGCTCACGGACCGACTGAGTGCCGAAGTGCCTTGCAAAACTTGGGTCCAACTCTGGAAGTTAAATCCTGCGCAGGATGAAGATGATGATCTTTACAGCGATGACCTGAGGCCTGGGGCACCCAAGGGGCAGAAGGCTGCCAGTTCAGCCATCGTTTGAGACTTGGCGAGGTGTCAGCGTGATTTTCTCGTGTTCTTTCTAGTGCGTGGATGTGCACAGTGATCAAATTTGTTCGTTTGTAAAGCTCCAATTCCTGAGCCCAGGAGCTTGCGTCAGCAAGCCATCCTTTGAATCTGGGCAGCACTACTTGGGAGCAAGCTATGGCAGCTTTACTGAAGCTCCCTGTGCCCTCGGCTGCTGCCGGCCTGTCGTTTAAAGACACAGGAACTCAGCAGGGTTTCACACCTGCCAGTCCTTCAGTTTTCTGCACAGCAACACCTTTGCAGGTTTCGAAGCATCATATCAGATTTGATGCTGTAGATCATATTCCTGTATTTCTAGTCTTGTTGCAATGGCGACATCAACGCTTTGATGCCTGCGCAATTTTCATTCAGCTGTTGCACATGCTTCAGGAAGAGATCAATACAGTCTTTCTTCGTGAAGTTTGGCAGTTCCGTTTGGAGGTTTGATCCTGTTGAAAGGTAGACTTCAAAATTAAACACCGGAGCTAAGACCTGAAAACAGAATCAAACCTGTAGAATCTGCTGCCTCTCAAGAAAAGTGTGCTCAACAAGCCTTGGGTGAGAGGTTGGGGAGAGATGGGAAAAGGTTCTCAGACGTTCCCTGTTTACTATACTCTCTGTCCTCAACTTGCAACAGGGGACATGCGAAGAAATATTTTGCTCTCATGCTTTGGCGGACAATGCAATTTTCAGAGACAACGACAAGCGCAGCGGACAATCTCAAAGCTGGAGGGGGTAGCTATGAATGGTCATGGCCAAGTGCAGAATCCGGATTCTTAGGTTGCAGAGAACTTGAGCAGGCGCCGCAAAGCCTGAAAGACCGATGATGCAGTGGCACCACATGCGCGATGGGAGGGAACCAGTGCTCGGAGAGGAGCGCATTCTGAATTCTGGAAAAGTTGAAGCACGAGCACAAGGCTGCGAGCCAAGATGCATGCCAGATCCTGGGATGATGCGGTGCAACTGTTGGCCGCCCTTCGCCAGAGAGCTCTTCGGTGCGACGTTGTCACCTGCAATGTGGACCTGCGCGCATGTCAAAGAAGAGTCCTGGCAGAAACACACAGAGATATTGCGTACTGAACTGATCGCCTCAAGCCCTGAAGAAACCTAAGTGAAAAGATTGCCTGGGTAAAGCAGGACACCAAAGTTCTAAAGTTCAGGCGCCAGTCGCAAAGTCAAAGGTGCATGACTGCAGTGATGGAACGGATGCAACGGCTGGTCATTTTGTTCTAGTTACCCATGGGACCAATTAGGAAGTTCTCCGGTAAGACTACAGGTACGGCGAGTTGATCAGACTCGGTATCCCATGATTGCGGTAGCTTCATTGAGTGCGGTCCCACCATCATGCCGCACTCCCCTGCCATAAAATATCAAGATTCCCTGTGACCTCATAGGTTTCACACACACACACACACACACACACGCCCCCCCGCGTGGGGGGCCCAAAACTAGGGGGCGGACAAATGCACATGCGTGCGCGCAAAGAAGACAAAAAGACGAAGACATGAAAAGGAGACAAGACAAGACCAGTGTGTGTGGCTGCGATGAAGGGGAAACCAAGTGCACAGGGACAACCAGCGAGCCACACCTCACTATCAAGACCTGGGTGGCCTGAAGCCTGAGGTAGTTGCGCACGTACATGCAAAGGGCCGGACCGTTGTGCGCGCAAAAAAGAGAACGGAGTGAGATGACGGGACATGAAGGCGGAGAAGACATGAACCACAAAAGAGAAAAAGTGTGTGTGTGTGTGTGTGTGAAGGGGAGGGGGTGAAAGGGGAACCAAATGGAGGGGCCGGAAACTAACGAAACCTAGGTATTTTACATTGTGCACGCTGTGTGCCCTAAGGCTCCGACAGACCTCAAATGGGTTTTGTAATGGAGCCTTGCCAAGCTGGCTGGCGAATTGAGTCCGCTGTGGACTTGTCCGAAGGCTGCCTACACAGGTTTAGTCACTCAGCAATCACTTGAAGCAGGCTGAACGTGAAGAGAGTCCCATCAACGACGGTCTTCCCCAGGTCCAAGCTCAGTCAGAAAGGCCCTACTCACTCCTCACCGGCTTGATGAGGCAGAGGCCCCTTAGGCGAGTGACAGTGTGACCAACCAGAATGGTCTTGAAGCCTGGAGGAACCTGACCAAGGATCTTCAACCCAGGACTCGTCAAAGAAGTTTGGCATTGGTTCAGGCTTTCAACAAGATCCAGTTTGATGCCACCAAGTCCGTGACCGAGCAACTCCCACACATACCCGGATGATCTGAAGATAGCATCAGTAGTTGCTGCCCTACCTCCTAGCCTCAGGGTCCACATCCAGATGGCATTGCAGGATGACACCACCTTCGAGGACTTGAGACAGAAGACCGAGCTCTATGAACAAGTCAGCCAACGATGGATGTCAGAAGGTGGTTTGGAATGGTTTGCAGCTGTCAGTGAGGCCCATGGCTGAGATGGAAGACAATGGCGGACCCATGGAGGTGGATGCGGTTTGGTCGAAAAATGGAGAAAAGAAAGGAGGCAAGAAAGGAGAGAAGAAAGGCAAAGATAAGGGCAAGCAGCAGAAAGGAAAAGGCACCTGGTCCAAAGATGAAGGCAAGAAGGGCAAAGGAGGAAAGTCCTTCAGCAAGAGTGAAGGAAAGAAAGGAAAGAGCGTAACCACATGTCACAACTGTGGCAAACCAGGCCATTATGCCAAGGATTGTTGGCGCAAGAAGGCAAGAAGGTGAGAAGAGTTGAAGAAGATGGACAAGAAGCAAAGGGGTCAGCCACTACAACCGTGAAGGATGGCCAGACTGGGGCGTCAACTGGCAGCTGAGCCCACACCGGAGGACGTTCAACGACTGCGGGAGTCAGGCGAGTTCGACTCATCACGCCAACAGGACTGGCTGCTATGGAGATTTTTGATCTCACTCAGGATGACTCCCCAGAGGAGCAACAGGAGACAGAGTCCAACGATGAGGGCGTCAGGCTGACCGTCTATGCAGTGACTGAGATTGTCGAGACCTATGAGGTGGCCGATGATGAGGAGATCTTCTTCGAGTGCTACACTGGAGAGGAAGATGATGAGCCCAGACTTCATCTGATGGGAAGACAGGTGCTATGACCTCAGATGCCCAATATGCTGAACATGTGGAGAAGACAGATGAGCCCATGGAGATCTGCGTGATCAAGAATGTGGTAGCCCTTGAACCTCCCTCCGTCATCATAACGCTTGACTCCGGAGCTGATGTACCAGTAGCTGCTGAGAGGTTCTACAATCTTGGACTTCCAAGAGGAGGAAGAACAGTTCAGATGGTGGAAGCCCAGGGTCAAACGGTTCACAGCAGCGGCAATCGTCGTCTACGACTGCCCGTGAAGGTGATGTGATCGAATTCATTGAGCAGTTTGCGTTGGGAGTTGGAGTGACTCATCCACTTTTGAGTTTTGGACGTCTCCTGAAGCAAGGCTGGGGACTATCCAAGGATGATCATGGTCTTTTCCTTGAGCGCCCGGAGAAGACTGCGAAGATCCCTGCGCGTCTTGAGAGAAACTCACTTGTCATGGATGTGAAGATTTGTGCTGTTCGAGCGTGTGAAGGTGATGCAGAAGATGAACTACAAGTTGATGCAGTGAACGACGCAAGCTCAACTGCTGGTCGAGGTGGTGATGATCCGCAGCCACCCGACGAGGTGATGGCAGAAGAAGCAGCCCAGAGGCATGTGAGAGAGGTGACAGTGATGATGACGTGACCCTCGAATTGATGCAGCAATTGTCAGAAGAAGGAGAACCAGGTAAGAAAGAAGAGAAAGACCGCCCAGGCTACACAACCCAGGAGTCTGGAGACATAGCAGCAGTAGCGAGGATGGCAAGGTGAAGGGCAAGCTGGCTCGATGGGAGAAGTGGCGGTTCAAGCTCAAGGAGGTGAAGGTCTGACCAGTACGTGATGGCTTCATTTCTCGTGAGTTGGGATTGCTTGAGAAGATCCTTGGATGCACTTCCGAATAGTATTGTGGTCCATTGGAAACCGATGGCAACCCACTTCCACGATCCCAGCTCGAGCTTTGGAGATGAACGGTGTGGACGATTGACATTGGCAAAGACTAAGGATGGAAGTGATGAGTGGGAGCAGCGTGAGAGTTTGGCCAACTACAAAGACACACCTTAAGATCGATTCTCACGTTCGTTGCACCAGGCTTGATCAAGGACAACTTTGTCTGCAACTCTTGAGGTCCCGGTCAGCCAGTACCCACTCCTCAATGGAGAACCAGCATCATGGCCAGAGGATGACCAAGAGGATCGTGGAGAAACACCATGGTCATCAGCTGGCAGTGGAGAACGACCGGACATGTCTAGCCTGAGCCGAGCCCAGCAGTCAGACAAAAGGTGAAACGCCGTGCCTGCCAAGTGGTGTCCCGCTTTGGGAGTAACCTTGCAACGCAACCATGCCTTAGTCATTCCCATTGGTCGAGTGTGGCTGAAAATAGGCGTTGTTGTTTGAGGTGGAACTCCTGTTACTGGCACCAAGCAGCTGCAGAGTCCAATGCTCACCAAACCGGTGCCTCTGTCTGCAGTTGACCAGCAGCGGCCTATTTCTCCTCGACGTCAATTCACTAGTCTCGAGTGCGCAAGAGGCTGGATCTTCACGGCCTATCGCCAAGACAGATACTTTTTGTTCTTTCTTGGCCGATTCCATGGAAAGAGAAGCTGCGGAATGCGACGCAGTCACCATGACATCGAACCTGAGAATGAGAGTCTGCAGGGATGACTCGTGCAAATAGCTGCTGACAGTTACTGTTGCGAGTTTTTCGTTTTTGCCGCTTCTGCTTTTCCATGCTGGTGTGTGGGAGTTTGTGCGCTTGCTTCCGTTGATTCTTTTCACGCAGTGAGTCCCATTCACCTTGCGGTGTAATTGTATGACCGTGTGGGGTTGGCATATGAGTGTGAACATTGACGGGGCTATGCAATGTGTTTGGTATGTACATATATTTTTGAATTTCAGCCAATTATCAAGTGTTTTGCATCCAGCTAAGACTCCTGCAATCCAATGTCGGCCCCACACCGTTCCAGAGAGGAAGTTCGACAGTTGCTCAAAGCTTGGGTGAACTTGAGTCGATGATCCAAGAGGACACTGCCTCAACTTCGGAAGCCGTCCTCACGCCCTCAAGTGTGGCGCCCCCCACAAATTTACCGGTTTGAGCTGGTTGCTTTGCGTCAAGAGATGCGTCACTCCTCAGCAAATGATCAATCTCCAACGCCTCCATCGAATGGACCGCCGAAGGCTGGCTACCGTTCTCCAACTCCAGTACCGCCGCAAGGAGTGCGCAGCATCACTGACTGGGAAACACGATTTGCAAATCGCCGAAGGTTGCAAAGTGTTGTGAGTTGACGTATGAAGCCACGATGGAGGAAACAAAGTCCTCAAAAAGACATGCAGGACTACCTTCAACGGATCGCCGCGTGTGGAGTAAAGTCAGCCATGGTCGAAGAGCTCCGATGCGATCAATTTTTGTCCGGCGTGGTCCACATACTCGGTGAATTATCCCGGGAAGGCCAGCCCCCGCCCTTTTTGGGAAGTGCAATTTTCTGCTTGGTTATTTGGAGGAGTGAAAATGCACAACTTGCCATGAGATCGGCCCATGGGAAGACCGACGTATCATCATTCGACCACCGTAGTGGTACCTTTGCCTGAGGTCGCCCCTGGTGGGACGCCTGCCTTTGATGCATGTATAGTTACACATTTTCAATTAGACTATATATTGCCTTTTCGCAACAATGTGAGTGAACATGTATATACAGATGTGTAATGACATATTCAACAAACGAAAGTACTTTAAGCCTTTTCTTTCAAAGTGTCCGGCCCGATCGTTGCACCTCACGTATGAGAAGGGGAAACTGAGGTAGACAGTGGAGGCAAGCCATGCTTTTGTTGCAGGCGTGTTTCAGTGCTATGGTTCGTTTCAGTCGGATGGATTGGAAGCTTGATTGGTTTATTTGCACTGCGTGTAGGTCGTGCTTAGCGTTGTTTGTTGAATGTGAAAATTTGGGACTTACAACGCTAACACAGATGCCGCTTATTGATTACAGCACGGGGTTCCACGTGGGAAAACAGAACGCCACAAAAACACCTGAAGAGCACTTCACTAGCGGGCAACGAGCGCTTTGTTGCAGGCTTTGAAGTTGGAGTTGCGGCCCGATATTGTCAGCTACAACTCTGCCCTTAGCACATTTGGCATAAGTGAGTGGGGCTGGGGCATACAGCTGCTGGAAGATGTTCAGGCCTGGTCCGAATCAGTCTAGTACTTACCCTTTCTTCCTGCCTAGGGAAATTTTACTTTTGCCCGTCCAAGCCCGTAGAGCAGTTCAGGCACAGAGTGTGCAAACGGATGTGATTTCGTACAACGCAGAGATCACATCCAGTGAAGGGGTGCGCTGGGAACAGGTACCACCACTTCTGGAAAGGCTGCGGCTAAAAGACCTTGAAGCAACCTTGATCACACTGAATTCTGCCATGAGTGCTTGCGAAAAGAGCGATCAATGGGAGGAAGCCTTGCCCATACTACAGCAGACGCGTGATTGCTTATTGCAGAGTACCATTGTCACGTATGGGTGCGCCATTAGTGCGTGTGAGACCGGCTCTAGATGGGAGAATGCTTTGCCTTTTCTACAGGAGTTTCAGGACAAGATGGGCCATCCGAATCCAATCACCTTTAATGCTGTCATCAGCTCGTGTGGAAAAGGAGAGCAGTGGCAGCTAGCTCTTGGCCTGTGCAAGCAAATGCAATTCCTTCAGCTCTGCCCAAGCCACGTGACTGTCAATGCTGCCATCACCGCGCTTGCGAAGGGTGGCCGGTGGCAAGAAATCTTGCAACTTCTGGTTACTGGGCAGGGGCACCTTCCACGCTTCAAAGATTTGCAAAAGACAGTCATCCGCTATGGAGGTGCCATCACTGCATCTATGTCACTTGTCTAACGAGTAACGTCTCATTGGCATTTTTGTCATGCTGCTGTACTTTAAAAACTTTCTTTGTCATATCACTCATTGAATCATTTAATCAGATGAAGTGGAAAACCCTTATGTGGTTAGGAACTGTCATATGGAACCTGCTCCAGACCTAGCACATCTCCTCAGATTTGTTCTAGTTCCGATGCAAGAAGTCTCAGGGGCCCAAGCAGGTTGAAGAGCAGGTTTGAAAGAGCACAGAGGTGTCTCTTTCCAACCAGGTGTGGGAGCAGGTTAACCGGAGGCTATTTTGAGCGGAACTGAGGATGGCGCAAGCAGGCAGCCTGGCTTGTTCTTTGCTGGTGCACGTTCACGGACACAGCAGGAATGTGTTCTTTTCCCTTTGGAAGCACAATGAGAGGGGTGCAGAAGAGGCATAGAGGCGAACATCGTGCTGAAAGTACTTGCATCGCTTGCATTTCGCCAAACTTGGACCAGTGCCAGAGGCACAGAGTTTGAGTGACGTTTTTAAGAGTATTCCACCTTAGCATTTCTAGTATGTTCCGGAACGAATTGAGCACGTGGCTTTTAAAGTTTGAGAGCCTGATGCCAGAACAGCGTTTTGATTGGGCCTTCGCACATTCGGTTTTGTGGAGTTGAACGGCTGGAAGACTTCGTCACCCTCGAATTCGGCTGGAACCTGCAACAAGGCAATGATGTCAGAATTTGTTTGTCCTTGTCGGTATACACCCGAATTCTATCTTCAGCTGCTTTTTGCAGTTCTGAAGCTGGTGCTGAGTGTAGCCACTGATTTGCTAGATGTATTGTGGCCAAAGAGCCAAAGAATGCGATGAAGAGAAAAGCATGGCCGTCCCATTCAGCTTTATGTGCAGACGATCTAATGCCATCGATGTGATGTGATGAACCACATCCAGTTAAAGATGTGAAGGCAGCATCTCAGACACTGCAGAGAGAGAGAGAGAGAGCACGCGCGCGCGCGCATTTGTGATTCTTCCAGCATTGCTAGGCACTTGTGCCACCGAGACATCAAACCAGAGCACATTCTCATCAAGGCACAGTGGGACAAGCGGCTGAGCAGAACAAATCTGGTGAGATGCCTTGCAAGGAGCGGGCACCAGCACACTCAGCAGATATTCTGTTGCCTCCTGACTGCATGGTTCACACGGTGACTCATCAACAATCGAAAAGCAAATGTGGAGCCCAGGTGTGACTTTGCAACGACATGCCTTTTCACTCCGGGAGTATCTCCGCTGCAGCTTGTGATTTAGTGTCATGTTGTGAGGGCCCAGTGCGATTGACTGTCCATGCTACGCCGAGGAGTCAATGACGGAAAAGGTTACAACTCCATATTATGCTTCGCCACAAGTGCACGAGGGCCTGCAGCTTTGCAGCGTTCTGCATCACCGCAAATTCGGGGCTGGATGTCTTTGGTGCCACAGAATGAGAAGGGTGCGTATGTCTTTGTGGCTTAAGGAAGGCAGATCATGTCACAAACCACCCGACAATTCTAACATGAGCTTTGTGGTCGATATGCAGCATGAATACGTAAGGTGAGACCGAGGTGCAAAATCACAACGGATTTCGGGAGACTTTTTTCTGTTTAGTTCAGTGCCATGCTGTTTCTTGCAAGTAGACACTTTCCACAGGAAAACAGGCTGGTATCGTAGAACATGTAGCGTTTTCACAGTGCCCTATCGCTACCCAGGTACTCTGAGGGAGTTGACGTTTGGTCCTGCTCCTTGACACAAACTGTAATCTGTACTGCAGTTCCGAATTGGTACCCATGTCACGTGACATTCTGCAGTCTTACTTGTTCGAGGGTGAAATCAATGGGAATGTTCTTGCTACAGCCATAAAGACTTGGGAAACAGAGCCTCAAAGGATCAGAAGGTCACGATGTGCGTCAGTTGAAGCCATCATAATGCATGGCAAGGCCGCCGCGTGCAAGAGTAGACATTTTCAGACTTTAGCTAACAAAGTGCAAGCAGGAGACATCCCAAGTCCGGTCTTGCAAACATGAGCACTTGAAGCATGGTACCATTTCAAATCTTTGATGCGTTGAGTCTCGAGTGTGCTGAGGTGGGGTGGTCATGTATTTGCTGCTCACAGGTAACTTGGTCATGTCGGGCTGTTGCCGTATTCCGAGACAACTCACATACTGTAGGCCACGTTTCGACCTTTGTGCTCCAGTATCATAGCCTTCCATTTTGTCAGGATATCCTCGGAGGGCAAAGGCATTGGCGGAATTCCAGAACATGCGTAGCGATGACTTCAGGTGTCTTGACTTGATCGGCTTATGATTCGAGACCGGACAGCTCAAAGCTTCAGCACACCTTTGCGAATCAAGGAGAGCTTTGACAAAAGGCAAGTTGCACAGCCTCCAGGACCATTTGTTTTGGTGAAACTAAAATCATGCACACTGAGAAACCTTGACTGTCAGGTAGCATGCAGCAAAAATTAACGACCCACAAAAAAAGGTCGAGGTGCCTGCTGAACTTGCCAATCCAGGAACGAGGTGATCATATATCCCAACACGCCCACAAGTTGCTGGATATGCTGCAGCCAGACTGCACAAGCCACCCTGGTGACCTTCATAGGGAGATTTGAAGTGCATGACCTCTAAGGATCATGACCTCTGAAGAGCATCGGGCAACTCCACGACAAGCAGCCAAATCCTTACTTAAGTTTGCTGTTACATGCAGTGCTTTCTGCAGATAAGATGACTGAAGCTGGCCTAACACACCTAGGAAGACTAGGCAGATTTGTGTTCCTTGATGGTGGGTTTGCCATCAGCTATGCAATTCAAGCATTATTCTACTGTCGGTTGGCCATCAAGCATATTCTCAGCTGCCGGGGGCAGCTGTAGCCCAGCTACAGCGCCAACGGATCAACAATGGAACATGCTGAGTTGATTCAGCCTATCCGACCTATCCACTCTGCCAGATGAAAAACAGCTGGCTAAAGGATCATGCCCCACAGCCCTGACCTGAGCACTTCTGATCTGGAAATCATCGTTTTGAATACCCGTTATTGAATGAAAGGCACAGTTGGGGCCTCCATTTCCGCAATCGAGGCATGCAGTCACAACGCCCCGCGAAGAGCTGAACAGAGCACGTCTCGCCGGCGTGTTTCTGCTTTTCTCGTGGCTTTTCATGGGTTTTCCCGAGAGTGCCTGAGCGAATGGTTCCAAAAAGAGCAGGTACACTACATACTACATATCATCACAACTTACATCCGTTTTCCTTCCCTTTTCTTTCCTTTCCTTTCTTCCTTCCCTTTTCTTTCCTTTCCTTTCTTCCTTCCCTTCTCTTTCCTTCCCTTTTCTTTTCTTTTCTTTCCTTTCCTTCCCTTTTCTTTCCTTTCCTTTCCCTTCCTTTCCTTTCCTTTCCTTTCCTTCTCTTCCTTTCTTCCTTGCTTCCTGCCTTCCTTCCTTTCTTCCTTTCTTCCTTCCTTCCTTTCTACCTTTCTCCCTTCCTTCCTTTCTTTCTTTCTTTCTTTCTTTATTTTGTTCTTTCTTTCTTTTTTTCTTTCTTTCTTTCTTTCCGTTTCCCTCTCTCTCTCTCACATTCTCCCCCTCTGTCTCACATTTTCCCTCTCTCCCTCTCACATTCTCTCAATTATCTCTCCCTCTCTCTCTCTCTCCTTCTTTTTTCCCTTTTTTCTTAGGCCGGCTAGCCCGCATAGACATCACCTTGAAGACATCATGGGGCCAGGATCTGGATCCGTACATTTGCAAAAACGCATGCAAACCTGCATACACATTGCCTTGGAGACATCTTTGGGGCAGGAACTGAGCCCAAGCATTTTACTATAAAACTGCTTAAACATCGCCCCGGACACATCTTTGGGGCAGAGCCTGAATGCCTACATTTCACTGCAAAAACGCACACAAACCTCTTCTAACCTCGACTGCGAGACATCTTTAGGGCAGGGCCTGGATCCGCACACTTTAGTGCAACAACGCATGCAAGCCTGCATGAATACCGACTGGAAGACATCTTTGCTTCCATCCTCCTGCGAACGTCCTTTTCATCTCATCCTGTTCCCACCCTCTCCTTCACTCCACTCTCTCCCTCTCTCTCTCTCTTTCTCTCTTTTTCTCTCTCTCTCTCTCTCTCTCTCTCTTTCACCATCTCACAACTCTCTTTACTTTTTTGTTTCATCGTAATGCACGCATACCTTGCACCAGAGTAAGTCGACACCTAAACGCTCTCGGGCCATCCATCCGTCGTCTCGGTGTGGGACAGCTGTGAGACAGCTAGACTCTGCAAAGAGAGCGAGAGAGACTTCAAGTTTGACAGGAGCCATGCCTGGTGAATGTCCAGATAGGGCGGGCCGACTGTTTTAATTGGTAGCCATTTTGATCAGTGTGCACGTGATGGTGTAATACCGATGGTTCATGCCAATTCATTTTTGGGTGTCGCTTGCCAAGCTTTGAAGTCAATATTTGTGGTGTGCACCAGTGCTAGACGAGAAATGCCCCTGGCGAAGCCACGTGGCGGTGTATATGCCCATGTGCTTGTTTCACTGCAGAAACCTCAAGCAAATCAAAAGTAAGCAGCTTGCCCCGTTGTAAAGAGGTCATGTGGACACAATTTGCCCGACAAATATTCCTTGTCCTCTTCCAAGAAGATACAGTCAGCAAGCTTGAGCTTTCGAGAAGGCGGCCCCAATTGCAGACTTTAACAGATTGTGCATATTCTAGGGTGGTTCGGAAGGGACACTGAGTGGTGTTCACGACAATCTAGTTTCAGGAAGGCTTGTTCAAAGCTTAGCGCATACGGTGGCTCAACACCTTCAGTTGTGTGAGAAGGCAGCATTTCCCGCAGCTTTAGAAGCTGCCCTCGGTCTAGCTGAAGGATTTCTGAAAAGTTTGGATGGGAGTGTGAGGCCAGCGTAGCAGCCATAGCTTTTGCTCCTTACAAGGCACCACTGTCTACATCGCCCATTGTGGGGATTGCAGGTGTGCGATTGGATTGGAGCGCATGGGTGCTCTAGTTTTTGCAACTCAGGATCACAAGCCTGATGTGATAGCAGAGCAGGCACGCATACAAACAGCTGGTGGAGAAGTACGTTCTGAGATCTATGAACTGCAAGGACTTTCCAGGAATATGCAACTCACGAACATTGGGCGACCTCATTGCAAAGCACCAACGGAGGTAGCGCTTGCACGTAAGCCATTTATGCTGTTGGGTAGTGATGGGATTTGTGAGTTTATTGATTCGGACTTCATGTGATGACGTCACGGCCATTCTGATCAGACTGATCAGACTCGGTTGAAGCTTCAGATGTGCACACAGTTTCTGACATGGACTGTTCTTGACTGGCAATTTGATTTTGTGGACAAATCGGTTGCAAAGGCGTGGCTATCCCAAGTCGAGCCAAGCTAACTTTCTGGATCTAAAGCGACGAAGAAAACACAGCAGTCAGATGTTCCAAGACGACCAATGATGTGGCCAGTAAGGTCCTTTAGAAAGCCTGATCGGCTGGCTTTGTATTGCGCTCGGAGGAAGAAAGTTTCAAAGCTCCATCACAAGTCAAGAGAAATGCAACCCGGGCAAATTCGGTTGCTGCAACTGCGGTAGCCATCGTGTGCCTTGAGACACCTCGGCCCCAGCGTCGAGCCGGTTTTCATTATCCATTTGACAGTCTCAGAAAGACATGATAGCGGGCCTTTCCAATCGCACCATCAGAAAGCTTGGCAGCTTTGCCGCGCAAGTTTGGCCCCACGAAGCATAGATGTCTTGGCCCAGGACTTTAGCTTGCTAGGATGTGTTTTGTGAATTTGCAACTCCTAAATTAGTGCTGTCTTTATAATTTTGATCCGGGCGCAGAGTTCTGGGCTCAAAGAAAGCAGTCGCAAACCGTTGGTGGGGGTGTTGCCTCGGGCTAAGATCTTCGAGGTATTTGGACGTCAGCTGGATTGTTACTCAGCTCAGGTGTGGATTATGGCTCAGCCAATTCGCAAGGCCTTCAAAGCTGAATGGGATGAACGTGATTGATGAGACGATTGCAAAAAGTAGTGACAAAATTCAGCCTTTGGCTTTGGCTTCTCTAGTTTTGGCCATTTTCAACTTGCGTCTTGTTCTTCGCTAGAGATGTCTCAGTGTGTCTGACAGCTCCGCCTGTTGCCTGCGTTGCTGGCGGCTTTGGTGACCGTGCCTTGCTTCGTTGCGCCTCCCAAGCGAGGCGAGCTTCTCTTGTTATTTTTGCGCGGGTGCCTTTTGAAGTAGCTGCATCAAGACCCTTGGGCCCTTGAAGCTAACAGCTCAGTCCATTGTTCACAAGTATTTTGCTGACAGAAATTCCAGCTGCACCCCTGGCTGCTGGACTAGCAGCCTTGGCCGCGCCGATTGAGGCTGGCTCAATGCAAAGCAATCTGCAAGCACACTAACTCAGCAAGTAGTGGAAGATTGGTAGTTCAAGATGTTAAAGGTTGACCTGTGAGGCCGCCTATGCCAAGCTGCCTCCTCTTGAGGATATCCCACTGGAAGACATTGTCTGGAACTCATGTTTTTTGCAGCCACCAATCGAAAGCAAGCATGAACTGCCAAGGGCGCAACTCGTCAGGGAAAGCTTGGAGAAGAGGCGGGCTTGGCAGCCTTGCATGGTTGACATTTCATTAGCTTGAACGCTCTGCAGTCTGACACCTTCTTTGGCATCAGCTTCCAAGTGTGGCTTTTCGTAATCCTGGGAGCCGTGACGTGGGCAGCCACTTGGGTCTTGAACCTCAAGCCCGCCAAGGACCTGTTGAAGATGTGTTTGCAAGCAGCTAATCTAGAAATGTCAGCTGCCACAGAGGTAGATGTGTAGCAATGCCGAAGACGCCAAACAGGCCAACCAACATCATGTGCATCATGCGTTGTTTGTAGTTCCATTTCGTGGGTTCATGTGGGTGTCTCCAGGATGCTGAGGGCACCTACAAGACGTACATCGGCGCTGGAGCTTTGCCACCTGATGGTTTCACCAATCCTGCTGACCCGCGAGTGCAAGAAGAGCTCACGGACCGACTGAGTGCCGAAGTGCCTTGCAAAACTTGGGTCCAACTCTGGAAGTTAAATCCTGCGCAGGATGAAGATGATGATCTTTACAGCGATGACCTGAGGCCTGGGGCACCCAAGGGGCAGAAGGCTGCCAGTTCAGCCATCGTTTGAGACTTGGCGAGGTGTCAGCGTGATTTTATCGTGCTCTTTCTAGTGCGTGGATGTGCACAGTGATCAAATTTGTTCGTTTGTAAAGCTCCAATTCCTGAGCCCAGGAGCTTGCGTCAGCAAGCCATCCTTGCAAGCTATGGCAGCTTTACTGAAGCTCCCTGTGCCCTCGGCTGCTGCCGGCCTGTCGTTTAAAGACACAGGAACTCAGCAGGGTTTCACACCTGCCAGTCCTTCAGTTTTCTGCACAGCAACACCCTTGCAGGTTTCGAAGCATCATATCAGATTTGATGCTGCATTTCTGTATTTCCAGTTGTGTATATATATACATATATATATAGAGAGAGACTGTTTGTGCAATAGGCAGACATCAACGCTTTGATGCCTGCGCAATTTTCATTCAGCTGTTGCACATATTCCGGGCAGAGACTTGTAGAGATTAACTATATAATCCCTTATGGTTCAAAATTCAAAGTTGGAGTTGAGGCTTGTCCTGAAACAGAATCAAGATCCAAGTCTCACCCCTGGTCATTTTGGTTGCAGCTATAGCACCTCCAGAAAAGACAAACGTTTATCGAATTGTCGTGAGTGCAGTCTGATCATCTCAATCACGGATGCTACCACACTTTCTTGTGCAGAATGTGTCCAGCAAAGGGAGGGTCAACATGATCACAAGTGCTTATTTTGTTGAACCAAGCGGACGAAGTGACAAACACGGTGCTTGCACTGAATATGGATGAGAGAGGTTTACATAATGATCTAGGTGACAGGCGGTGACACACCATGGTACAACGCTGGATTATATATATTTACCAGGCTACCGCCTGCAGCCGCCGACCCCCAAGGGATAGAACCTTAGCGCTAGCCTTGCTCTAGCCAGAGAGGTGGGGTGAGGCGTGACTGTCGATGTTAGCCTTAAGCCTTAGCCTTAGCCTTAGCCTAGCCTTAGCCATAGACTTAGCCTTAGCCATAGACTTAGCCTTAGCCTTAGACTTAGACCTTACTTTTTTACCTTTCCGGACCTGGGGTTTGTTGTAAAAGGGAGTTGTAGGATTTCCCAGGTATGCGTAGAAAATTGCGAACCTATTTTCTTCCATTGTTGTAGAATTTTCTAGGACTTCCTCTTGTGTTTAGGTTCCCAGATTTCCCCAAAAATTGATTAATCTATTGTTAACCTATTTGATTCTAGTGTTCCCGGCAAATGCCCTGGAATTTTCCGAGGAATGCTCTAGGCTTTGTGTAGATTTTGCGCTGGACGAGGTCCGGCCAGTGCCCGTGGTAACGTGAAAGGCTCTGGTAAGATTTTCGCATGCCTGTCAGGCGCCCGTGTCCGCGCCATGTGGCGTGTTGGTTCTAGGACGGAGCAGCGCGGGTGGACCGCGGTATTTTTTTCCCAGATTGACCATCGGACGTCATCTCTTGCATGAACCCCGTGATGCGGAGCCCTCCTCCCCATAAAGGATATCATTGCCCAAGAATTTAGACCCAACCCTTCACCACCAAAGCAGGTACCCAAAAAGTCGACTTTTTGGGTACCTCCC